TTTCAATCTTGAAGCATTCTTCTTCTTCTTCTTTTTCTTGTGCTGTCTCTCTCTCTCTCTCTCTCTCTCTATATATATATATATATATATATATATATATATCATTGATATCGCATTTGAAAAACTTTGAGAACCGTGAACTTGATTTTTCTTCAGCTTTTGCTTGCTTTCATAAACAAGGACTATATTCCGAACACTGCATCTAGATGGAAATTATATAAAAACAATGTAGCAGAGTCTGAAATGATGAGACTTATGTTTGAATATTGGTTAATCAACAGGTATCAGTGCCCAGATCATGCAAATCCTGCTGAATTTTTGGCTGATCTTATATCCATTGACTACAGTTCTGCTGACAGTGTCTACTCTTCTCAGAAAAGAATTGATGCCCTTGTTGAGGCATTCTCAAAACAGTCATCAGCAGTTCTTTATGCCACTCCACTTACCATAAAGACTGGTTCAAGGCATGACATGAAGTTCAGCAAGAAGATTGTTGCTAAGAGGAAAGGGGGTTGGTGGAGACAATTTTGGTTGCTTCTAAAGCGTGCATGGATGCAAGTTCGTTTTTCAACTATTTACTATAAATTTTAGGCTATTTACTTTTATTGCTATCTTTAAGGACATCATAGGATTGGGGGATAATGCTTCTGTCCATTCTTTGGTTGATTAACTTTATGGTAATCCATTTTTCTGATATTTAGCTGCTTCATTTTACCCAGTCTGGCAAAGCATTTTAATGATATAATTGATGTTTGTTTAGCCAATTTCAAATGTTTCATTCATTCCTTGGAGCTAGAGCAACAATGAAAAAAATGCCTAAAATTAATAAAGTGAATTGCATAACGTGTTAGTTTCTTTTGTGAGTTTTTTCAGAGAAGTCTTGAAATTATTTTTCTTTCTTCTTTCTTTCTTTTGCATTGTGTGTGCGTGCGTGTGTGTGTGTGTGCATGTGCGTGCGTGTGCTTGCATGCATGTGTGTGTGTGTGTGCTTGTATTCAGAATGACCATAACTTGTGTTCCTTTTGTTATACTAGGCTTCTCGTGATGGACCAACAAATAAAGTTAGAACTAGAATGTCAGTTGCATCAGCTATAATATTTGGGTCTATTTTTTGGAGAATGGGAAGATCTCAAACATCCATACAAGACAGAATGGGATTGCTTCAGGTATGAAACCTTCAGTTTCCTTGAAATCCTTTCTTTCTTTTGTGTTAAAACTGCAACCTTGCAATTTTTGCAGTATATGAAGTTCCTTTGATCTACTTTAGGGTTTGATTCGTATGTTTGGTAAGAAAGTGGACCGCAGTGAACTAGTTCAAGTGCTTTTGGTGGGGGAGGTTGGTGGAGGGAATTAGGTGCAGTGGAAGGTGTTGTGGAGGATTTTTATCACGCCAGAAATTGAACTTTACACTCACGTACAAAAGGCATTTTAGGTTATTATGATTCTCAGATGATGGATATATTAGTTCTTTGTTCTTCAATTCTGGTGGGTGGTTCAACTAATGCAAAAATTTGGTTAATTTCTAACTTTATGTTGACGTTGCCCATGAGCCTTCATCCTCTCATTATGGTGCCATAGCTCAAGGACCCTCTTGAGACCACTCTCTAACCTGCAGCCGATGAACCATACCCTTCCTGAAAATTAGTTCTTTGTTATTCTATGAAGTATATGATCTTTTCATATGCAAAAAGGCAGCATTTTTAGTTATCTGTCATTCTTGAACAGCAACTAGTCTTGAACAATTAGTGATATTCATGTGATTCTTAAGTGACATAGGTGTTGAGCGTATTAAAGTTCCTTAACACTGTTGGTAATCATGTGCCCTCTGTTAGGTTGCTGCCATAAACACAGCAATGGCAGCTCTCACAAAGACTGTTGGTGTATTTCCCAAGGAACGTGCAATTGTAGACAGGGAACGTGCAAAGGGATCTTATGCACTGGGACCCTATCTGTTTTCCAAATTGATAGCTGAGATACCTGTGGGAGCAGCATTTCCTCTAATGTTTGGTGCTTTGCTGTACCCCATGGCTCGTCTTCATCCTACCTTATCCAGGTGTTCTTCATAGTGTATAGTTAGAATGAAGCTCTTTATATTCTTTACACCAGATGTAAATATGTTGCATTAAATTTTCAAATGTCATGTTTCATTTAAGTAATTGATTACCACACGTGTAACTTTGTGAAGAAGATGAATAAAAAAGGAAACAATAAATAATAATCATTAATATTTTTGTCAATGATGCATAAGAATTTCAAGTTGATACATTACCATAGGAGAGGACCTTTTAAGTGTTGCTTTTGTTGGTGATGACTGATTTTCAAATTTGCTTGGTCACGCACCAAGAACTGAGAATGAGTAAGCTTGCACTTTTATTGAGTAATGGCAATTATTTCATTGGTACAAGCAATGAAAAAGGATCTTGATGGAGTTTTTCAAACATGCTCCAACTTTGAAGTCATTCCTGTTATTTTAATAGAATCCTTATGAAGACCATTGCTGTGACAAAAGCAAGCAACCAGTTGGTTCTGAGGTGTGCCTTGTCAAAAGAATTGTTGTAGTTGTTTAGACTATGTTTACATATGATTATCTGCCTCTTTTTTTGTAACCTTTCTATTGTAAACACAAAGAATGTGGTTTATGGTTGCCAAGATTGAAATCTCTGATAAAACCAATTGAGGCACTAAGCATCAATTGTTAGGTGATAATTTGTTTAATTCTATCATACTGATTAAATGAACTGATCTAGTAGTTTGACTTTCTAGATTTGGAAAGTTCTGTGGAATTGTGACTGTGGAGTCTTTTGCTGCATCTGCAATGGGTCTGACAGTGGGGGCCATGGTTCCAACTACTGAAGCAGCTATGGCCTTGGGACCCTCTCTTATGACGGTCTTTATTGTGTTTGGAGGCTATTATGTAAATGCAGATAATACACCAATTATCTTCCGTTGGATTCCCCGTGCTTCTCTAATAAGATGGTAAATACTAAATAGTACTAAGCTCTACTTTGCATTATTTGATGATAAACCAAGACCTTTGTTGTTTGTGCTTTCATGAAGATAAGTCTCATCTTTGTTTACATGGTTTCAGGGCTTTTCAAGGGTTTTGTATCAATGAATTTACTGGTCTTAAATTTGACCATCAGCATTCCTTTGACATTCAAACTGGAGAACAGGTATGGAGAGATCATAATTCGCTATTTGAATTGGAATTTGTATGAAGACTGTCCAGCACAGACATGACATAGAATTATAAACAGGAACGTTCTGTTTTAGACTAAGAGAAAATCAACATTAAATGAAATGTCTTTGTTTCAGTGCATGTGAACGAACTTAAAATTATACACTAGTTCAGTTTCTCAAACCATACTATGCATGGTCAGGTTCTATAACTTACAGCAACTTGTATTAAAGGATGGTCAAACATTCCAAGTAAAAGAGACCTCCCGGTTCATAGATCAGTGAGAACAGTTTTATCTGCAAAGAAAGCGAAAATGCTACATGCTTTCCTCAATGTAATGTGCTAAAATAGTTTTTTTAGCAACAATGTGCTTACTATTTATTATTAGGACTAACATGCCTGGAGAGTGACAGGAAATTGTCAGAAGGGCTAATTTAGATGATAATATTAGGGTTAAGTATTTTAATGAGATTTCCTTTTAGTCAATTCTAGTCTATGCTAGGATTAACTTCTTCTTTCTTAATTACAGGCACTTGAGCGACTCTCCTTTGGAGGAAGTCAGATCGGAGATACAGTTATAGCTCAAAGTAGAATTTTGTTGTTTTGGTATTGTACCACCTACCTCCTCCTTGAGAAAAACAAACCCAAATACCTTCAGCTTAAGGCACCTGCATCTGGGCAGATTGAACCACGGCTAAAGCCTTTACTAGAAACTGAACAGACTCCTTCGCTCAAACAAGTTGAACAAAACCAGCAAGTTGAATCACCTCCAGTTGACAAAATCGGACCATTCATCCTAGAAGGTTTGTAATTATTTAGGTATTAATGATGTTGTTATAAGAAGTGCTACTATTTATTGATTTATGTCATACAGGTGCTAAGTAAAGGAGATAAACTTTGCAATAAAGGAGGGTTTCATGCATTTTCTGAGCTAATGAGATGATTCTATAAGACATCACATTTACTTCAATGGTTACTGTGCGTGTATCCTTTCCCATGTAAAATCTTGCCTGTAATGGATCTTTATGACATCCAAATGAACCATATCTGTGCTACAGTTACAGATATCTTTGACATCTGCTGTCTAAAGATTAGCACAATCTAATGTTACTAATACATTATGCTATATGCTCAGAGTCTTAGTTGGCATAAATTATGGTAACGAGGACGTCTTGAAACCTTTACTAAGCTTCAAGTCTTGTCTTGTGTAAATTTCATATAATTTTATGTTAATTTTGTTTAATTTGCTTGTTGGTCTCTTATTAAATATATTAGCTATGTCATATCGAGTAGTAGTGTTTTATTGATTCGTTATTTCGTTTCAAATACTAATCAAAACTTTGATAATTTAATTTAAAATATAATATAATGATATGATAAAAAATAGTATAAACAATACATTGACTAAATTTTAATAAAAAATAATTTGAGTTTTAAAAAATAAAATTTTTATACTTTTCGTTTTGATGCCAATACATTCATATTAAAAAAAAATTGCATATCTTAGAATTTAAATTTTTTGAATATTATTTTAAAAAAAAACTTAAAATGAATCCTAAATTTCTTGAATATTATTTTTTAAAAAAAAATTAAAATGAACTCACTAAGTTAAAATAAAATTCAATTGAGATTTTATTTGAATAGATGAAATTAATTTTGATGAGATTAAAAATGTAATAAAAATTATTATAATTACGATTAAAAAATTATTATAATTTTAATTAAAAAATTTTTTAATAAAAATTTTATATTCTTAAATTCAATTGAAGGTGTTACGGAATCCAAGCTTAGCTTGAATCAAAAATTTCAAAATTTTCCATGATAGTTATGTCATTTACATGTTTTATTGATTCGTCTCAAATATCAATTTGACTCGGTCAGAAATTCCAAATGAGATGCATATTAATACCATCAAAACTGCAATAATCAGATTTTATGATTAAAATTATCATAACAGTTGACATACATCATTCTCATAGTTCAACTGCTCTCAAAATCCTAAAACATTCCTAATCCTTTCTTCCCTTAAAATTGCCTCCAAAGAAAACAACCAAACTTGAGAAGACAACTCTCCTCATCAATCAGTAGATGCCAAAAAGGAATCCAAAAATCCATCCCCAGTTACAATAGTAATGTCTTAAATATTGAAGAGTTAGAATAATTTTCTCAGTTTCTACTTGTTCTTGATGGTGATTCCAAGCTCACCTGCAACAATTACAGTAGTAGCCATATCAAGAAACATGCCATGTTCAACAACACCAGCAATCCTCAGAATTGCATCACTTGCAACCTGCAAATCCCCAATATCTTTCTTCAAATACAAATCCACAATATAATTCCCATTATCCGTTACAAATGGCTCCCCTTTACAATCATTCCTCAGCTTGGCGACGCAGCCCGAAGATTCAAACAGGTTTTGGAGTTTATTTGCAGTGAATTTCCAACAAAATGGAACAACTTCAACAGGCAGAGCCAAACCACTCCCTCCCAAATACTTGACCAACTTGGATTCATCAACAATAACAACAAATTTCTTACAAGCTCCTTCAACCATTTTCTCTCTTAGAAGGGACCCACCTCTGCCTTTGACCAGATTAAGATGTGGGTCCACTTCATCAGCACCGTCGATTGCTAAATCGATGGTAGGATGGTTGTCGAGATCTGAAAGTGGGATACCTAAAGAAAGAGCTTGTTCTTGTGTTTTCTTCGAGGTGGGAATTCCTATGATGTTATTGAGCTTGCCTTGACAAAGCAACTCGCCGATTCGATCTACGGCGTGTTTGGCTGTGGAACCTGTGCCTAGACCCAAAACCATGCCTGATTCAACGAATTCAACGGCCTTATAAGCGGCAATTTTTTTCAATTCGTCTTGGGTTAGGATGACGGGTGGAGACATAGGTGAAGACAAAGACAAAGCCTCCATGGAAGACGCTTTTTCAGACCAAGCAATTGCCATTTTTCTTTTTTGAATAGCTGTTAGAAAAAAAATCGTGATGACAAACCTAAATCAACGGAAACCAAAGGATTACTATTGCTAGAGAAAGGAAAAAGAAAAGGTTGGGTTTTTTCTTTCTCTTTTATTTTCCTTCAGAGATTTAAATATTTGAATCAGATAAATAGCGTAATTATATGAAGGAAAAAGAAAAGGGAAAGAAAAAACCAAACGGAAAGAGATAAGCGAATTGTTTCTGTGGTGAATCGGAGAGAAAGAGATAGGAGGGAATGGGAAGAAGAAGAACAAGAAGAAGAAGAAAATAGGGTTTTCCGAAAGCGGGGAGAGGCGTAGGCTGGACAAGGGATAAGGGATTGTTCGGTTGCATAGAAAGTGACTGGGCTTTGTTCGATTTTTATAGACGAGAAATGAGTGGGCTTTGTTTGGTTTTTTAAAGTTTTGTCGGATACCGTTATAGTGAATCGAACGGTGTGTGGCAAAGCAAATCCCTGAGAAGGGGGCTCAAGAGTCACTCACGCCGTCGTTCAGTCATAGATAGTCTTCTTGTCCGTTTGGATGGGACCCATATGAAATATGTTTTTTTTTTTAAATAATCAACGATGCTGTTTGTTTTAACAAGACATTAATAACAATGGCAAACAAAGGCATGGGACATGCTTTTATTACGAATCTCCGCATATTCTCTACCATTAGATGAATTTCTGGGTCTCCATTGTTCTTGTTTGCTTTATTTATTTATTTATTTCCCTAGATTTGATGTGATCTCCAACATCTTAAATGCAATTTTCAAATTATATTATTTAAAATAAATAAAATGTTTACTAAATAAATTCGGGGAAAAGAAATTGTGGTGGGCATATGATGTGATATTTGCGAATGATCCATCATAAATAAAGATGTATTTATTTTCTTGGTTTTATTTGAGATTATGAGGAATGTTAATCCTACGACTCTAGGATAAGGCAATCTACTTGGGAAAGTGAGTCGATCTTCAGCGGATACGCAACTTCGGTAATATTCCATATTGATTTCACTTTCCATGCTCCTTCGGCCTTTGCAGCGTTTAGGTTGAAATATTTTGACACCTATATATATATATATATATATATGTATATTACAATTTATATAAATATTTATGTGAATAATTTTTTTACGTGTCATGTAAGATTTTTTTTATTAAAAAGTATAGTTAATTATAAATTAAATAATTTTAAATTTATTTAAATATCAAAATTATTCAAATTATAATTGTAAATCAAAATAATTTAGAGATTTTTATTTAAATTAAAATTTTGAAATATAAATTTTATCCTAATAATTTTAACTTTATTAGATAACTTTATTTAGTAAATTATTTAATTATGAAAATCTTTCAATATGTTTTAAAATTATAAAAATTAAAAATTTTCAAATATTTCAAAAACTCACTATATATTTTTATCTTAATTTGTATCAAACAAAAATATCTTTTCAAAAATTTACATAAGATATCAAAATTTAAATAGTTTTCCCATATTAAATCTCTAAGTAATAAAACATATAAGTATCTTAATTCTAACTAGTTCTAAACTTGTATGATACACATAAATATATTCATATATTAATAAATTTATATATAATATAAAATTTTTAATTGATAATATAAGTTTTTAAGTATATGATCAATTCAAACTTTATATATTTAATTTTTTATTTAGATCTTGTATATGTTAATATAATAAAATAAATAAATTATATATTTTATATACTTATATAATTATCATCAAATTAAAGAAAACTCAAATTATAATTTAGTAAATCCAAGTAATGTCTAAACAAAAATCAATCATGTCTTTGATTTCAAGAAATTGAAAATTTTGCCATCTCAAAATGAATCTCATTTACCATTTTTTTTTCATTGGAGATTCTTTTATAAATTTTTTGGGCGAAAATATGGCAATTGATTAGGATTAAAATTGTTAAAACTAAAATTATTAAGATATAGTAACATAGTTATATAGTGCTTTAAAAGTGAATTTTTAAATATAATTAATTTTTAATTTTTAATTAGAATTAAAAGTGTATTAAGTGAATTATGATAAAAATTTTAAAATTATCCTACATAGATAGCCTACCTTGTTGACATGTATATAGTTTTAACTATTTGTCACGTGTCTTGTAACCAATTTGCAATCAAAATCTATTTTATTATTACTCACCTTAAATCATACTCATATGTTATTATAACCTTATTAATAACATTTTTTAATACATAAGTAAAGAATACAATGTGATGAATGTAGAGTTGTAAATGAACCGAACATGAACAAACGAACATATGTTTGTATTTATTTGTTTGTTTGTTTTTAAAAGTGTTCGTGTTCGTTAAAAAATTTATTCTGTTTGTTCATGTTCATTCGTTTAAATAATAGATCATGCTTGTTTAATTAAGTTAAACGAGCTCGTTCGTAAACATTAAATGAATATGTTTACGAACATATATAAATGAACAATTCATAAACAATAAATAAATCACAACTAAATAAATTTAAACAAACAAACCTTCAATGAACATAAATGAATTCAAACAAACATAAACGAACTTTAAAATAGGATTAAGGTAAAAGATAAAAATATAATTTTATTAGTATTATTATAAATGAATAGCAAATGAACAACAGACGAACAATAAACAAATTAGTTTTAAGCGAATTATAAACGAGCTTATTTGTGAACATAAATAAATAAATAGACAGTTATTCATATTCGATTTGTTTAATAAATGAATGCATAAATAGTATTCAAAATTATTTGTTAAGCTTAATAAACGAATATAAACGAACATATTTATGAATGGTTTGTCAAAAGCTTTGTTTACTTATACCCATAGATGAATGAACTTTCATTAATTTTAAAAAATAATATTCAAAGCAACTTTTTGCTATGAACTATTGACTATCATAATTGTCTAACATAAATTATTCTTATTTTAAAATTATATATAATTAATTCATATTTTTTGGTAAAAATTAAAACATGCATAGTTGACTGCTTGATTTGTTCATATATGCAAATTGAAAATTATAAATTGCAATTTTTATGAGTAACATTGAAAATTTTTGGATTAACATTGTATCTGCCAGATGTGGTTCTATAAGCATTGATTTTTCATTCAAGTAACACATTAACAATCACAAATTTTTGATTTGTTATATAATATTGAAGAGTATAATAAGAAATTAAAGTAAAAATTAATATAGAATGTGAAACTAAATAAATCAAACCATGAAATTAAAAGTTAAAGTGTAGTAAGTAAGTGATGGTCAAAGCTTAAAATGTTGAAAAGTGAATATCAAAGATAGAAAATTTTGTATTATGCCAAACTTGATTCTTTTGAAAATTTCAGAGTATTTATTCCACAGAAAAATGAAAAATCCCTAATAACTTTAAATTTCCTCTTTTGAAGTGTTGGTTTCTTTTCAATCTTCTTGGGCACATTAGATGTAGTGTTGTTGAAAATCTTTTTTGGATCATCATTCCTTGTGATTTCTTCACTGGTACTGTTGTGGTTTATATCATCCATGTTGTATATAGTGTCATTGAAGATCTTTCTTTGATTATCATCTTTCATAATTTCTTCACCCATACTTTTGTAATTTATATCATCCATTTAAATTCTAGTAATAATCTATGATAAAAAAAAGAAATGAAAAAGCTAAATATTTTTAAATAAAAATATTGAAAACAATTTGTCTAAAAATTAAAACTGAAATAAAATTAACTAATAAAAAAAGCTCTTAAAATAAAAACAAAATAAATATATTAACTAAATAAAGCAGTGTATGTCTAGCATATTACAATTATATATTTTCATAAAAGAAAATTTTAAACAAATGGCAACGGTATCATGATAATAGTACTGGTGATATTTACACTTTTAAGCCAAAAAAAAAAAAAAAATACAAACAAACCATTTGCAGAGTTGGTGAGAGAAACTAGGTTTGAAAAAAAATAACTATTGCAATTTTAAATAATTAAATTAAAATTTCATGTTTGAGACTTGAGAATTTACCAAAAAAAAAAAAACCAAAAAATAAAGGTAAAAATTGTAAAAAATCAGTTTTCTTTCATGATAATGGTACAAATTGAAACTAACCAAACACTCATAATTTGAAATATAAATTATTAAAAAAAAAAAACCGAATTGTAATTGTGGAAGAGTTTGATAGGTTTACCTTGATTTTAAAGCTAATGTAATTAGAGAATGGCCTTCTAAGCTAGATTACATCAAGATATCCTATGTATAATAGTTTTTTTTTCATATAATTGGAAATAGGGAGTCTTTACCTTAATGCAAAAAAAAAAAAATGGCATAAATTTATGGAAATCAATTATAATGGATTCATTTAAGTTTCAACATGTTTTTTTTTAAATACTATATCTATAATTTCGAATATTTTATTAGAAATAAAAAGTAAGTCAATTAAAATTAAAAAAATAAATATAATTAATATATTAAAATAAATTTATATGAAATCAAATAAATTTATATACATGATGAGAATAAATGCAGGACACATGGCGGTAGCTAAAGATTGTCCACATGTTAAAATATTAGACCATCCACATTAGAAAATTTTATTTTTTATTAAAATTTTTTACTTTTATATATTTATATAAGATTATCAATTTTTTATTTAAAAAATGGATAAAAAATTTGATTTAATTTTTATCACTTATTATATCTTTTTAATTTTAAAAAATTAATTTAAAAAATATTTATTTAATCCTAACTGTCATCCAAGAGTTATTATATAAATTAAAGATTATAAATGTAATAAATGTAATGTGTTATATCATTTTTTTATTTTTTGATTGCAACTTTTTGAAATTCTATTATTATAGTAATTTATTTTTTATTGTTTGTATATTTCTTTTTTCAAGGTATTGTTTTTATGAAAATTAATATTTTTTAATTTTTTCTCACATTTCTTAATATTTTTCATATATTGTATAGTAATTTGAATAAGATTATAAAAGTGTAAGTATGCTTATATTTTTGTTATTATTTAATTCATCATTTGATAATACATATTTTTGTTCTTTTAAGGAAAATGTGTAATTTATTTTTATTTGATATAAATTTTAAGTGTATAAATATTATTGTAAATAAAATAATGCAAAGTAAAAATATATAATTTTTTTTAAATATTTATTTTTTAATAACAAAATTAATCAAATATAATATTTTATATATATTATAAATTTTAAAATATTAAATATAATTTTTTTAAAAATATTAATTTATACTAATATATATATATATATATATAATAGCCGACAAAATAAGGGAAGTGCATTTTCGACAATCCGCATAACAGTTAACAACTCGGGTTAACGAATTTCTCATTCCCAATCACATTCTTCCACGTGTCTAAAGCCTTCCCGCCAAAATTAACAACCTTTCCCCTACTCACCCTCTGCAATCGACAAATTCACACTCCAAAATGGCATCAAGATTTCTCATCCTCCTTTCTCTCTTTTCACTTTCCTCCCCTCTCCCCTCCCAAACCTTCCTCCACGCCGCCGAAATCCTCTCCGACTCCGACTTCCTTTCCGTGGCTTCCACTCTCGAGACAGCCCCCACTTTCTCTGCTCCAATTCCTTGAAACCCTCACGGTCTCCACCATCCCCAATCTCCTCCCCAACCACTCCATCATCCTCACCTCATCTCCTCCCGATGATGTCGTTTCTCTTAACCGTGTCAGGATCGACGACTCCTCTATATTCGATGATGGGTCTTTGATTATCTTTGGAATCCAAGAGTTTTTCGACCCGAGTTTCCAGGTTTCAACGCCTAATCCTAGCTATGCCCCATCAATGAATGGTGATGTTTATTCATTTAATGAGGCTAGTTTGGTTTTAAGGTCAAGAGGATACTCTGTTATGGCCTCATTTCTCAATTTGCAGCTACTGGGGTTTAAGGCCCCAACCGCAGCTTTGACTCTCTTTGCTCCTCTTGATGATGCTATGAAAATGAAGGGTTACATTGGGAATTTCAGTGAGTATCCTTCCATCTTCTTCTGGCATGATTTGGTTGCTTTCAATGATGGTGCGGTTCTGGGGATGAACTTGGGAGGGTTTAAGATCAATGTCACTTAATCTGCGAATAACATGATGATCAATCAAGTGGCCGTTACTTCTCCAGATTGGTGTTGCTGTGAATCAATTGTTGTTCATGGAGAAGTGCTTGTAGTGTCAAAGAGGCCCCGGAGATTGCTTGAACCTCCATCAGATATTGAACTGGATCATGGTGAATTTTTGTGCTATCAATGGTTTTCTTTTGTTTTTCTCAACGACTTATTGCGGGATATTTCTGGAACTGACTTTTCTAGTTGACGATCGAGAAATATATATACATACATACATACATACATATATATATATATATATATATACACACATGTATTTCTTGGTCTATTTTTTGAGTTTCTTAATTAGAAAAAGGATTGGTACTTGAGATGCCTAATTTAGAAGCTATATGGACGGTTAATTTGATGTAATTCAAGGGATATGTCAAGCTATTGAGATTTCTGTTGCAGGAAATTGAACCTTTTTCTTTTGATATCAATGGCTTCCTTTTATGTTGTTCTTGGAGTTGATGCATTGGTTGTTTATTGCAGCAAATTCTTGTCTTACCAAAATACTTGGAACTGAGGAAAATGGTTTGAATTGGATATTACATCTCATAGACTCAAAACATTGTAAATCAGTACAGAATAAGATTTCATGGAATGGGATCGATGGTTGATTCCTTCCACCAATTACCAGTTCATTTTTATTTACTGCACTCTGCATTATGAGTGACAACTTCTGTAATTTTTTTTCCAGCTTTTCTTAAGAACCAAGACAAATGATGGCATACAAGTAGCACATCCAATGTAAACAGCATTTACCATAAACATATAACAAGACAATTGACAGAAATGATATATGACCCTCCCAACTCAAAATGGAGCTTTGCCCCACCTTGGTTTTTTTTTTTTTTTTTCTTTTCCTGGCATGCGAATTGCGATACAATGGAAAGTGAAAGACTGAAACCTAATTTCTTGCTATAACTTAGACTCCATTTGTCATGTTTGACGGTGTTGTATTATTGTTGCTGTTTGTGCTGAAATTGTTCTTGCAACTCAAACATTTTATTGGCAAGGATAGCTTCACAAACACTTCCTCCCTTCGGGGGCGGTTTGCATAGAGTATCCAGAGAACTAAACAGAGCAAGACTCCTACTGAGACTAAGCCCAACCCTGCATTTACCATCTTAAGGTAAAGCTCCAATGGATGGCAGTAATTTGAGGTGATGTTTTGGAACGTATCCCTGACAAAATCACAATTTTGCAGGCAAAGTAAGGGTGGTGTATAGTGCTCGAGAGCATAGCTCTCATTAACTGCTGCCACCAGCTGTGTGAATCGGTCAGGCGTTATCCTTCCTGTGGTGGTGCATAGCCCAGATGCTGATACCATGCATGTGTAGTTCTGCCAAACCTGAAAATTTTAAAATTTAATTGAGTTGAGTCGAATTTTTCATGCACAAGAATAGAAAAGCCTTCTAATTTTTAGTACATGATTTGCAATGAAGTGTTTATCATCATCACTAAGGGCAGAAAAGTGATACTTCATTTGTAAATGCTACCTGAAAGATTATGCCTTAACCCTTATTGAGTTGTTTTAGTTGAATTTTTCATCTTTCGTCAAATGCCTGATTGCAAGTTCATGCTTTAGCCCTAAATGATTTTACTATTTTTATGTTTTCCCAATATCCCAAGAAGTTTAGTTGTCACAACAAATAAAATCGTACTATTCTCGGACACTGCATGGTCTTAGGTATGTGGCTACTAACACAAACACACCAAACCCATAATTCACTTCTTTCTGAAACCATAATTATGGTGTGTGTGTGTGTGGGGGGGGGGGGGGGAGGGTTAAAACTCATTTCTATCAGAACATCTTTAAGAAAAAAAATAAAGAGCAATGAAATTCATTTAGATTATAACCTTGACCAAAGCTGATGACAACACAATATTGAATGCATAAATCATAGATATTTAGAGGGCTGAAAATGGATATATCAACTAAGGCTTGAAGGTAGATCAAGCAGTACAGCACATGCAAAAATAGCTATTAGATATTCAAGGACTGTTTATTCACTTTGGAAGGATGAAAGTTTATCTAGAAATGTTTATGGGAAATAAATTCTGAAAAAAAAAAACCCAAATTATCTTTGATAGACATACCAGAGAAGCATTTACCATAGACACCTCATAAGACCCACACTGGCGATCTTGTAGCTGAGAGTCAAATGGGTAGCATAGAGGAGGCATTGGAGGCCCAGACTGATTATAATAACGATTGTCATCTGGGGAAGGATCTGAGTTGGCAACGGAGTAAATATATCTATTGACAACATTTACTATACTATAGATGACTTGTTTACTCTGAGTGAGCGTATGGTTTGTTGTTCTCTGATCAACACAAGGAAGGATGTTGCTAAGAGCAGTCTCAGCATGGGGATTTTCCACCCATTCTTCCATTGCCAAACAAGTGTCAGAAATTGCACTGAAACACACAAAAACGATCAAACATCCGTCAGACAATGACATCCCCATGGGCATTCAATTTGTTCAAACAAACTACAGGCATCAAAATTGATACAATTTCAAATATTGTTTCAGCAAGCAACTTTGAAGTATTGAATGCAAAGGTGTTGATGCATCTTGCATTAAACGCTAGCATTCTATAGACATGCAAATGGTATGATGGATGCCATACTGGATTTTAGGTTTTTATAAGCAACCAAATATGTAGGAAAATTTTAGAAATCTCTCCACTTTAAGATCTAACATCTTACTTGTTCATGATTACAAAAACTCCATAAAGAATGAATGTAACAGCTACTAGTAACCATCCACTGACTATGAATCTGCAACAATTTGTTGTTAAGTGTCAGAAAGGGATTTAAAGTTGTAGTATAATTGACAGAAGAGAAATCACCAACCAAAGACCAAGCAGCTGTTTAGTTTCAGAACATGATTTCCATTTTCCATTTCCATTTACACTCTAAATGAGATCAATAAGATAAGGTAAATAACTAAATTTGAAAAATTGGAAAACAAAGGATTCCAATGTAGTAAAAAGTTGGAGAACCAATTTTAATAATTTTCCAATATACAGAAAATCGTAAAACAAAATTTAGTTATTACCTTTTTCATTTATAATTTGTAATGTAAAAGTATAGATGGAATATTGAGAACATTTTTCTAAGACTACATAGGCACCAAAAGAACTTACATGTGAATGGCATGTTGGTGCCCTAGAATCGACAATACTGCACAAAAATAAGGCACAAATGTCAGATAGGTAAATGATAAAGAAACATATTAGATATGAGTCAGCAATATCTTCTAGTGATACTTACAAAGACCAAGCAGAGCCAAAATTAACATCACCACTGCCACCGTGATAAGTGCTAATCGCCTGAAAATATATTTGAAATTGGACGTCTAAGTATTAATATTTTGATTTGCCTGCTAATTCTAAAGTAATGAGATAATATTAAGTGGTTCAGGGGACCATACACAGCATTGAAGACTCTTCTTATTTTGACAGCATTTTCATTGGTCTTCTCTGTAAGTGTATCTGCAGCTCTGTTTAGATCTATGTTCAACTTGTCGATGTCAGTCATGACATCAGAAGGAAGGAACACCTGGGCCACGTTGATGGTTTTTGCTAGAGATAGATACTGTGTAACATTTTTTAGGATTTGCACAGTGTAGTCTGACTGGTTTACAACATATTTCAAAGTATGCAACACTTCATCATGAAATTCATCTTGCCCAATAGAAAGAAGAATACATCCAGTCCTGTTCGTAAAAGATTTGCAGTTAAAAAAGCTAGTACAAAAGAAGTCAATGGATTAGTTTTGGAGAAAGAACATGTGCATAGAAAAATTCATATATTCCATTAGAAGATGCATATATAAGTGTGCAATAAAATTTTGCAAAAGAGAATAATACTAAGTAAATAAGATGGAAAAGCTCCTAAGTTTGGATTATTACGCTGCGGCACTTGTGAACAATATGAGCATTATAAGACAAATCGTTTGGGATTGATCCGATCTTTTTCCTTTGATGTTTATTCTCCACCCACAGCAATGATATACCGCAAGAACCAAGCCAAAAGAAACAAACCACAGGACAGCAAAAATGAATCCAGCAGCACCTGTAAATCCAACAGACTGCAGACACAAATTATCTTTAGAATTCGCATGCAAATTGCAGCTTTTAAGGCTTAGCGAGTGGGGCATATATAACAAAGCTGTTGTTTGCCAGTGAACATTGTTCCTCTAAGAAAATTTTCTAATTGTTCTGCGATATTTACTTTCTAATAGCCATAATCCTCCTACCCCAGTTCATTGAAAAATGAACAACCACACTATATTTCTTCTTCTAAAAGATCAATAAAAAAGCTTCTGACTCTTGTCAGACAAATACCAGAAGAGTCAGGATCATGGAGAACATTAATTTTTCTAGCATTTTTCTTCCTTCTTTTCTTTCTTGAATATATGACACTTTCTTCCCAACAACAATAACTGTTCCAACCATTATCAGTTTCCCTGTCACTATTTCTACATATGTTTACGGTCTAATCTCATTTGACATAGATTCTAATCTCAGCATAAACATATAGTCTTTATAAACTCAAATATGATATTTACTGTCCAATAATACCTAGAATGAACCATCTCTAAAGCAATCAGATTCAACAGATCAATCAAAAGACTAACAAGAATGCAAGACAGAGCGAAGACTTTACCACCCAATAATGCCGGTTGGTAATATCCCACCCACCGAGATAATGCTTGAAATGGCGAAGAATGTCCGGCCTATTAGTCCTTTTTGCTGCCAACACCAGCGTGCTTGGAGGCTCATCACTTGTAGGTGCCGGTGCTTGTGCCAACTCAGATATTTCATTCTTCCATGGACCTAAATTCACCCCTCCTGCACACACAACAAACAGACACTACATATGAAACAATTTGAGATAGTTAATAGCAACAAAAGCCTTTACTTTGGCTTAATTACATAGGTTAAGATCACAGGAGGCGTTGAGAAAAAGCAAAAGAGAAAATAAAGATTAGATTTTTCGTAACCAGCACTGAACTCAGACCAGTACTTCAAATTGGCTTATAGTTTAGCAAAAGAAAAAAAATCGTATCTTTCTCGAAACCCAAAAAGACATAATCCCAGTACTCAAAATTCCCTTTTTCTTCCCTGTTCTGTTCTTTTTTCCTCGGCAACCAAACGTAAAAAAGAATATCAGATCACATTACCACCACATAAGACAAGAGACCCAGATAAAAGGGGAAAAAAGTATAAAAGCAATGAAAACTTAAACAGTTACGTCACATTATGCTAGAAACCAAAACAGAATTATAACACCAACCAATAATAAACTTGACATGATCTCTGATTGATCCATTTTGAGGCAAAGCTGGAACTGAGCTCAAACAACCAAAGCCTACAATGAGCAAGAAAATGAAGCATCTAAACAAAATGATCTTCTTCATTTGCAGTTTCAAGGAAAACTTCACACGAAACTCATTCTATCCTCAAAGATTTGGCAAATCCAAAAAGCCAAATCCTAGGGACACCCCAGGATCACAAAACTAGAACCAAAGTCAGCAGTGGAGTGAAAAGCAACAGAAGAAACTATTAACGTGTCTGCTTCATGATTTGATGCAGTAATATAATCAAAGAAGTAAAGGAAAAGAAAGAAAGATTTTTAAGGGGGGATTGATTGGAGACAAAGAGAGAAAAGAGAGACAGAGTCACATGGGATTGGAAGAAGGAGACCGAAAAGGCGGGTGGGAGTGGTATTAATAAACCAACCTTAGTACCTTTGCTTTAAACATTTAAGCTGAGCAGTTGCCGAGCTTAGCTTATAGTATTTTTATAAACAATGAAAGAATGAGGCAAATATCCATTTTAGTGGATTAAGCAAAGAATAAAAATATAAAACCAATAGCAAATCTGCAAATGGTCTTTCCTTCTTTTATTTTCTGCTTTACTTTCCACCCACTGTTTTGTCCTTTAGTACTTTTACTTTATGCAGACTCAGCTCTTTATATTTTTCTAATTTCCCCTAATGCTGTAACTGAAAATCCTCATTTTTCTCGTTGCTTAAAATGCCGTTCCTTTTATAAGCGGATACACTATCAAGTTATTTTATTTTCGTTCATATTTTTTAAATTTAATTTTTATTTTATTAATTTCAAATTATACAATAATCATGAATATATTATTATTTACTCTTAAATTTGGGTACTTGTGTTGAGCAATGGGAATAGAAAATTAGAAATACAAAATACATATCCTTTTTTTTAATTAATTTTGATTGATTAAAATAAACCCTTAATGTTTTAAACACAATCTTTGTCGAATGATGTTCTGTGTTTAGGTGCACTGTACCATCATTTTCCTACGAATCTGTTACACTAAATCAATCAATTCCTTTGAACATTGGGATCCTCCATCATTTCAATGGGATCACTGGTGAGATCCAACGGTGTAGAAAGTGACTCCAGCATATGCGTGTAGATTCCGTGTGTAGAGAATTTACTATAACTGCAGAGAGCGTGAGATAAATGTGGCACGTGATTAGAGTAAAGCAGGGGGAGCCCACCTGGTGACAAGTTAGTCATCCATCCCCACGATAAATAAGTCCAGGTTAGAGTACGCCGCGGTGGGTGGAACCCGCAAATCATCAATCATGAAAAGCAGCGAACTGAGTAGCGGTGTGAAACAGGGATGATGTGATCGCCGCTCATTACGCGCTTGATTCGTGGGAATGAGAACCGGGTCGGTTTTTTGTTAGCGCGCCCCGTCGGTGAAGGACCGCTTTTTAGATCTAACGGCTTATGCGAGCTATGGCTTTTCATTTATCTATTTCTACCCGTTGATCAAAGAATTATAAATTTGTTATTTACTTCTTTTTTTTTCAAGCAAATTTTATTTTCTCTGTTATTTGTGTTATTTGCTAATATGGAATGCGCAAATATATTAAGGCCAATCTTTAATAAAGGGGTTTATACAATATCCCCACATTCGACTTAGTATAGTTCTTTACTTTACACAAAAAAAAAAAAAAAAGCTTTTCATTCTTTACTGTTTATCATCCCAAGAACAAAATCAGGTCGATTGAAGGAGTTGATCGACAGTTGAATCAGACAATTCACAAAAGTCATTCAAAGTATTCAATGCAGCATGCCACATGCGAATGGAAGTTATGAACATAGATGTAAGACATTTCTTTCTCAAAATCAACCTTATGCTAAATCTATCGAAACCAAAACTAAATTTCATGATGAGCTTCATAGACAACTGATTAGAATAGGAGCTCAAGTTGGTATAGGGCTGTACTCTGGAGTTCTACTTGGAGCTTGAGGTCATCCGACTGGGCATCTTAAAGGTTGTGTGTGATTTTTTGTTGTTTTAGTAATCTTAATTCCATCTTCTCCTTCGCCTGATAAATGGTGGAAGGAAGTCAAATAAGAAACATACATCCTAATTATCAAAACCTCTCTCTCCACATCTTTCCTCCCACCCTTTTTTCATCCCTTTTCACTCCAACGCTTTTTAATCCTATTTGGAAGTACTCATATCCGCGTAAGTATCATGTGTTCTTTAAAGAGTATAGTTGGTGGTAATACTTCCGATTCTTCTGCTGAGAACGCCAGTAGCAAGCAAGTGCTCCGAATGCACAGCTAGCAAGACCAATAGCCAGTGCAGCCCCCACAGGCACCACAACTGCGTTTGTTGAGGCCACCAAATCATCCAGAGTTCCATTGGTCCCATCATCAGCAAGAAGACTCTTTTCTTTGTACAAAGATACAAGTTCATTTCCATAATAACTGACTAAAAACTTGAACACTTCATCCCGGTCCCAATCGATCTGACTGCTTCCTTTATCTTTGGGAACTTGGGAGCGATAACATGAAGGACAAAGCTGCTTTGGAGGCCAAATCATCTTTGGGAACTTGGGATCTCCAGTTTTTAGAGATGCTTCTTCCTTCATTAATCTCTCGTTAACTTCATTATGCGCACTCCACAACCAAAGGGCAAAGTCACGGGCTTTCTTGAAAGGACTAGTAACACTGTAAATTAGATATTTGCAGTTAGATGAAATGAACTTACATATTTAAGTAAATAACTTGCTTTGGAGTCAAATTTACCTTGAACACATCTCATAAAAATGTTGACGGCACTCCTCGCAGATAAAGAAGTTGTGAATAAAATCACATATAGATGTAAATGCAAACTGGCTCTCTCCATCCTCAATCCTCACAGAGAGTGAATGCATCAAAACCCACAATCCACAACTGCAAACAAATATGAATAACTATTGGCACCTTGCAGATCAATTACAACTGAAGGACGCTCTATTATAATTGACTTGTATGCAAGGCTTATAATTGTTGAAAAAGAAATATTCTTAGTTATCAAATTATTGGAAAAAGTAACTATGAGAGAGGGCTAGTTTGACAGAGTAAAACAATTTTCATGACAAGGTTATCTTATAAAAGCTGTCCCCAAATGCATGATATTTAGCCATTTTTGAAAGTAAAGCATAATTCGAAGACTAAGTGTTTTGTGGTATTAAAATTTGATTTTATGAGTTATTTAATTAATTTTTTAGGGAAATCTAAATAAACCTCAGAAAACACTTTTGACACTCCATTTCTAAAAACACCCCATATTCAAATTTAACATTTATATTTTTACTCACTACATCCCACACCCTAAATTCAGTTTTGCATAAACAACCTCATGCCCCATTGCAAAGTATCTTAATTTGTTGTTATTCTATGGCTAAACAAAAATAAAAGCTTAACATAAATTAGTTTAAACCGAGCTTGTTCATGAGCTTCAACGAGTGAATTGGATCACTGACAACCTACTCCTCTCTTTCTTCTTTGTTTCTTCCTTTCTCTCTTTAATCCCATAGATCCTCCTATCTCTGGACCAACACCCACAACTATATTTTTGTAGGAATATAATTTCCTTACGGTATACGATGAGGTTTTTTTTTTTTCCCCTCTAGAAGGAACTACGACAATGTAATTGATCAATGAAGGATTTAAAAATATTTGTTGATTGTTCACCGATCAACACCCAAGATTATAAAACCCTACTCTGCTATCTCCTATGCACAGACCCTATGGGAAGAAAGATACTGCTTGATGGGTTCACAGAGACGTAAAACATCTTTTTTATACCAAAAGCAATGCCCAAAGAGATTTTGAGGAACCACCGATTGGAAAGGTTGAAAATTTTCTTTAAAAAAAGCATGAGATAAAAATTAAGGATTTTTAAATCATTACCTAAAGCCCCTGGTATCGTTCTTGCTGCCACGACAAAACATCTGCAAAATAGAACATCCAAATGGCATAAAGCAACTATTAAAAAGAGAAACTCCAAATAATATTATCAAAAGAATATATTTTATCTTGGACAAAAACAAAAAGGAAGCAATCAATTGACAATCTCCCAGCTGAGAAATCATTCATAATATGCTCTTTTTGAGTAGATAAATGGGGAGGCAATGAATCACATGAAATAGGTGTAGCAACCACTTATTGGTAACTAACAATCATCTAGCTTAATATTAGGGATTCCAGGTCACAGCAAGCAAGTTAACTAGCTCCAAGTCAGCCATCAAAAAATTCATGTAAAGCAAATAAAAGGCATTTAACTCTGCCTACATGGTACTGCATAATATTACCATTTTCAAATATATGCACAGAAAGAAACTATTATAACAAACCAAAATTTCCATTTAGTACCTACCCAATATCCACGAGGAACTTCCTTTCCACAAATCTGGAAATTATGTAGCACCCCTTTCATGGTATTGGTGGCAGCATCATGTCCATCAGATGACCACATATCTAATGGGCACAAGTCATCGAAGTTCACGAGTACTTCTGCACTTCCCTTTCGACACCTAATACAAATATAGTAACAATACAATTAAGGAAACACCATACAAAGCCAAGCCAAGGTACATACTGAAAAGTTGGATCTTTACCTCCTGGAAGGATGATGAGCCACTAAAAGCTGAAGGAATTTTATGAGTGAAGCTCGAGTTTCTGATTTAATCATCTGCAGGACATCATATTTAGCAACTTTTGAAGATAAAAAAATTCCCAGCCTCGTATATGTATACATACACACGTGAAAAAAAGAGGAAAATCTACACAAGATAGAGAATCCCCACCTTGTGTTCTAAAATGATGTCAAAGGCAGTTGTGGTTGCCTCCTCCACATCATATATGGCTCGAGCAATCTTTCAAAAGCCAAATAACAAAGAAGTTAAAATGCCAAGCAAATTGAAAACCTAAAACATGCATTATTCAAGAAGAAAATTGGAAATGCATGAAAATACCTGTCCAGGATCTGATATATTGGATGGAAGATGCTCATTTTCAAATTTTTCATCATCCAAGCCATATGAACTGAAAGGGTGTACAAGCAGTAGAAATCAAATGACTAGAGCTGGTGGTCAAAATTTCATAGATAAGTGCAAATCTTCGGCATTAACTTATTATTAGAAGATCAATCAAGCACCCATTTTTTATAAGTACATTGTGAGAACAGAAGCAGATTTCTTTACACTCCAGAACCTCCCCCACCGCCAATGGTTGCCATACCCTACCTTCAAAAGGTTCAAAGTTCCAATCCAGTCCCCACCCCGGTTTTGTAAGACTAGCATAATGATTGATGCCATCAGGTGTGACAGTGAAACCTTCAACTGTCACTTTGCATTTTTTCCCATAAATTATAATTCTGAATTTTTCAGAAATCAGGTATAGATTTGAGTCAATGTCTGTGTTACAAAACCAAACACCATAGAAACTGAACTTGCTGCCCTTCCTACTCATACACACTTTGGCACACAATAAATTTCTGGCAACGCATTAAACTATTCAATCATAGTTTGTCTCAAGGATTTGTAATAATATGCCAACATAGTTCTACAGACTTAGCATAAGCTTCAATTGAATCTGAAGAATAAATCATTCTCCTATATGTTACGTCAGTTTGATGCATGCCACATGCAACCACGAATTTTATAATTAATCTTATATTCTATTAACTATCAAAACGTCTTCCTGCATTTGGTGTCAAAAATTATATTATTATATAAATAACATTCTTTTACCAGACAGATTATTGAGCAATTCCCAAATGTATAAGTAAATGGGAAATTTTTTTGTAAAAAACATAGTCTCTTTCACAATAATGGATAGTAAAGCCCTCATAATTGAATTTATTTTACAACTCAATAATTTCAAGAGATCACTAGTTCGGATTATAAAGATGTTGTATATCAAATAAGTGGTGGATGAAGATACCTCATACCTTCCTATTTGCTTATTGATCCAATTAAGCAAGCGTTCAGCTGTCCGTCCATCATCAATTACACGTAATTTACTTTTTGCTTGCTTGGGCTCCCAGCCAGCAGAAAACTTTGTAGGAGGACCCCAAAACAGCATAGGATAGTGACCGACAGAAAACTTATCACAAAGTTTGGTGTTTATCTGTGCTGCCAAAGAAGTCAAAGAACCAAAGTAAAATTAACAAAACAGATTTTTCAACAACCTTAAACAAGAGCCAGAAGGAGGTGCGCCAAAAAGGAATGCAATATTTTATATGGAGGTTAGTTAACAGAACAAGGCTAAATAAGTAGTAAATATAATGCATGGACTAAAATGAATAGCCACATTACATGGCTATATTCCAACTCTGAAAAATCACTCACAAAACAAAAATAATTAAATAGATAATGATATTAACAATGCTGCTTTTACTTAATTTTCATATTTAAAACTTTACACAGCAACTGGAGAAGGCCAGAATGACAGAAAACATTAAAGAGGTAACATCTAAGCAATTATTGTCTCAATTATATACTTCCAGGATCTGATCTGCACAATATTAGATTCACTTGGTCCCGAATTTCTAATTCTCTGTGCTTCTTATCAACAAAAATAACACAGAAAATTGTGTTTGAAATATATAAGATCTTCCTAACAAATAACAATCCACAAATCATTTTAAAAGAAGTCTCAATTTCCAACGATTTTCATTTCTTGGAAATTTTCAGGAACATTCGACAAATCCACTCCATGTACAGAGAACCTTCAGTTCACACCAATATGAAACTTCTAGATACCTTGTGGACAAGGTTAGTGATTAGTTATGCAATGAGAATAAATCGGGACTCAATGTCTCAAACTAATAGAGCCTGACAAACAATTTGAATTTCGGAGTTTATGGAATTTCTTCTTCTTTTTTTCCTCTTTACAATTATGAGGCCCCTTTATCAACTTGAGTATGCTTAACTTCACTTCTAAGGAAGAACGCCAAGGTACCATTAAAACTGGGCAAAGAAAACTTATGCCACTAAGGAGGGTGAGGAAGGGATAGTAAAGATTTTGATTTAGATATTGACAGCTTACTAAGTTCATTATCCAACAGAATATGCTCAATCTACAAATGAGGGGGAAAAGAGCACTGAACTTATTTTTAAGCTCACACAAATTAATTTTGATATATATTCTCAAATAACTAAAGAAGTATTAATAGATACCTTTCGATGTTTGGCAGTGTTAAGAAATGCTTGAATGGAGCAATAACAAAATACAACCACTGAATAATCACTATCAAATGTAATTGTCCATCAGTCCCATGACAGATGCTATTTAAAGTTCAAAATGCTTGTTCTACCCATTAAACAAAAAAATTTACAACTTGATAGTTAAAATTCTGCATGTACACAAGCTTTTCAACTGCATCTTAAATCCCAGAATTATTCTAGTGAGGCAAATATATGCTATTGAAGAAACAGGTATTTTTACAGCACTATTTCCATGAGGCTGCACTTTGCAAGTCTCTAGAAGACAAAATAAATACCTTTGATGCACAGTCTACTCTAGCCATCAATATGATACCAGGATGCACGGAATCAGGTCCATTAAAAAGCCTAGCAACTTTTTCATAATGGGGCTGCAAATTGTAGGCAAAGCAGCAAAAATCATAAGAAAGTGAAGATATGAAAAATGGTAAATGCAAAATATACCATACAATACCTTGTAATTTCTGCAAGCAGGGCACCTGAAAAGTAATAATCACAACGAAGAGCGGAATGTCATATAACATCATAACTGGCATGAACCATGGAAATCAGCTACTAGCTACGTAACACAACCTAGGTAGCAAGGTAGTTTTACGGAAACAGGCAAGCGCACTGCATACAAGCACATATGCTCATGCACAGAAAGATGCCATTCTTATGAAAAAGAAAAAGCTTTTGCAATTATAAACTACATGTAATTAAGCAAATGAGGCAACGAATTATATTGATGGTAACAGGATATGTTGGTTAGTAAATCGACACCATACATCATTCTGGCTGTAAAATGTGAACAATAGCAATAATTAATTGGTTTGCTAACTCTTTTCCTACATTGCAACTAACCAACTCCAAGAGTCTGGTAAAAGAATCCATGAAGAACAATTGGCTTTGATATGGCAACTCCAAAAGGTTAGACACGGAGAATATGCTACAGGCCATTTGGAAACAACAAAATGTCACACTGAAAAAGAGTTAATCAAGTATTTTTGTCTGTAGTTTCAAAGGCATTTTTGCGGATCTATTTTGCATTCCATTTCATCAGTTACAGTTTCAGAAACAGCTACCTGTCAACAAGGTGGTGTTCAATTTTTCTCAAGCTTTGCCAATAGTTGGATGGCTTGGCCATACCATCATATCAATGTTTATCAGAAAGTGTCTAATTTCTAATACGCAGGTAGTTTAGGGGGGGGGAAATTACCATTACAAGTAAATAATATCAAGGAAGTTTGTTATGCAAATAAATAAAAGGATCAATTTTGGACAGTGAACTAAAAAAGAAATTCAATTTCCTAAAGAGTTATCCCTCTAATTCTTAAATTACAGCAATTACAGAATATAATACTTATGCATTCAATTATATGCCAAGGAAACTCATAAAGGTTCAATACGTCCATCCTACACTTAGAGTTAGGTATATTTGTTTATTAACTTAAATTAGAAATTCCGATCCACACCACGGCAACCAAATTTGATTACAATTAATTTCCGGCAGATTAAAGTTTTCATCAAGTAAGAAATTCACAAATTAAAAAAAAAAAAAAGGAACTTTTTCTTCCATGATCAACAGTGTTAACAACAAAACTATGAAACTTGTGAAGCTCAAGATTTAAAAACAGTTCCGCATCCAAGAGCGGATACTTATTAAAAGAGTACTAACCAGTGAGCGAAGAATTCGACTATGGCGTAAGTGGCGGGAGTTTCCTTGAGAACTCCATCAAAATTCGTGACGTTCAATTCGAGGGCATAGTCCTTCGGATCACTACCGCCGCCGTTGTTATTACCAATTTCTCGAAGTACCGTCCGCGATCCCGCTTGCAACGACGTCGCTTTTAAGATCCAAACGTTCAAAATCAGAATCCAATATACAAGAGACATCGGAAAGGAAAAGAGGAAAAACTGATTGTATAAATATATATTTGTACGGCTTCAAGGAATTGAAATGAAAAAAAAAAATTTAAAAATGTATGGAGATCTTAGTTAGGAGTTAGGGGGTCAGGAGAAGTGGTGGTGGGTGGGTCTGGAAATTTCCGGTGCATAGGGTAAGAGTGAAAATTACATTTTTTTTTTTAAATAGTGACGATTAATGCTGTGTGCGATAATCGTTGTTTATTACATGCCAAGATTAATTTCTGTGTGTAACCGGAAAAAAAAAAGGAAAATAATTAAATTTAATCAATTTTGATCATAGTATTTTGTGATGTCATGTAAAATTAAATTAAAAATAATTTAATAAAAATGAAGTTCAAAAAATATTTGATAATTTTAAGTTTAAGTTTTTCTAGAACTTATTTTTTAAAATTTAATTACAATCTTATATCTTATATAAATATATAAAAATCAAATTTATTGACAAAAAAAATTATATGGATAATTTATATTTTAGACATGTAAATAAATTTAAAAAATCGACATATGTCTTATAATAAGTATATTTTATTTATTTAAAATAATTTTATTACTTAAAAAATAATTACTTAAACTAAATTAATTATATATTTTCTCTTTTAAATATCTATTAGTCTTACATTAAACGAATAAATTATGATTAATTTGATCAATAATATAAATAAAATAAAAAATTAATTATTCATAAATATATTTTGATATCTTAAAATTAGTACACTCTAATATTCTTACCTAATAAATGTTGTTAAAGAATTTTATTAAATTATTAAATAGCAAATTTTATTATAATCTATAAATTAATCTCATTATTTCCGATTTTTACTTTTTTATTTAAATTATTGTAATAAATTTTAAAAATTTTGAACACCTTATTAATAGAAAAAGGAGTGTTTTAGGCATCAAGATGTTTTGATAATTGATTTACAGTGTTAAATTTTGGTAGAAACACTTTAGATTTTTAATTATTCTTTGTTTGTTGGAAGTAACTCTTCATAAACCTCCAATACATTTGTTTACGTGTCATCTATAAATTCATCACCATCCGTGCAATTTTTTCCTTTTATTCTTTGAATTTTTTGTCTTTGAAGATGAAATTAGATTTTTTTCTATTGGCATTTATACATCAACTAAATACTTTAAATTGTGAAACATTTTCCTAAGCATACAGATAGGGGTTATGTATGTATAAGATCCTCCCTCATCTTCTTTTCATTTTTTATGACCAAATTTAGTTCTTTTTTTTTTAATATTTATTAATTGGAACAGTGTTAGGTTCTATATATTTTATAAGATGTATATACGTACATATATATATTACATATATACATATGTATTTTTCTTCATATTTATCAATTGAAAATATAGTAGATTTTATATATTTCTATAAGATATATTTATATGCATGCTATACGCATTGTCATTTAAATATGTGTATATATATATTATATTTATTTGGATTTTCATTTCTTTTATATTTTTATTTGATTTTTTTATTATATGTTTTATTAATTGAAATATATATATACATTGACATACATACTATAGACATTACCATTTATATATGTGTGCGTATACGTATATATATTTATTTAAATTTTCATTTCTTCTATTTTTTTATTTGTGTTTTTTTTTTTCTTATTATATGGTTCGTTTATTGAAATATATGATATTTACTACAAGATTAAAAGTGAATAATTAAATTAAGAAGGATGATATTCAGAAGATCTCTAACAATAATATATGAATTATTATGCATAATAAAAGCGTACAAGCACATTGAGCCTTTTACTTATGGTGGCAATTTTTTTTTTGGTTTCACAGTCAACAGTATGACATTTCCATTGAATTTTAACTGTAAAAGAAACACAAATTATATTACACACACAACAATTCAAATGTTCATGAGCTTCTAATACGCCAGAACATTATCCAACACATTACGGCCTTACGCTTTATTAGAATGAGCTTCTGCACTTCCCTTTCGACACCTAATACAAATATACTAATGACACAACTAAGGAAACACCATAAAAAGCCAAGCCAATGAACATACTGAAAATTTGGATCTTTAACTCCTAGAAGGATGCTGAGCCACTAAAAGCTGAAGGAATTTTATGAGTGAAGCTCGAGTTTCTGATTCAATCATCTGCCGGACATCATATTTAGCAACTTTTGAAATAAAAAAACATTCCCAGCCTTGTATACATACACACACACACACGTGAGATAGAGAGGAAAATCTACACAAGATACAGGATCCCCACCTTTGTGCTCTAAAATAATGTCAAAGGCAGTTGTGGTCGCCTCCTCCACATCATATATGGCTCGAGCAATCTTTCAGAAGCCAAACAACAAAGAAGTTAAAATGCCAAGCAAATTGAAAACCTCAAACATGCATTATTCAAGAAGAAAATTGGAAATGCACAAAATACCTGTCCAGGATCTGATATATGGGATGCAAGATGCCCGTTTTCAAAATTTTCATCATCCAAGCCATATGAGCTGAACGGGGGTACAAGCAGTAGAAATCAAATGACCAGAGCTGACGGTCAAAATTTCATAGATAAGTGCAAATCTTTGGCGTTAACTTATCAGTAGAAGATCAATCAAGCACCAATTTTTTATAAGTACATTGAGAGAACAGAAGCAAATTTCTTTACACTCCAGAACCAACTCACTGCCAATGGTTGCCATACCCTACCTTCAAAAGGTCCAAAGTTCAAATCCTGTCCCCACCCAGGTTTTGTAGGGACTAACATAATGATTGATACCATCAGGTGCGACGGTAAAACCTTCAACTGTCATTTTGCATTTTTTCCCATAAATTATAATTCTTAATTTTTCGGAAATCAGTTACAGATTTGAGTCAAGCAATGTGTTACAAAACCAAACACCATAGAAACTTAACTTGTTGCCCTTCCTACTCATACACACTTTGGCACACAATAAACTTCTGGCAATGCATTAAACTATTCAATCACAGCCTGTCTCAAGGATTTGTAATAATATGCCGACATAGTTCTATGGACTTAAGCATAAGCTTCAATTGAATCCGAAGAATAAATCATTCTCCTATATGTTACGTCAATATGATGCCTCCCACATGCAATCATGAATTTTAAAATTAATCTTATATTCTATTAACTATCAAAACATCTTCCTGCATTTGGTGTCAATAATTATAAGATTATTATATAAATAACATTTTTTTACCAAACAGATTATTGAGCAATTCCCAAATGTATAAGTAAACGGGAACAATTTTTGCAAAAAACATGTCCTCTTTCACAATAATGGATAGTAAGGCCCCCATAATTGAATTTATTTTACAATTCTATAATTTCAAGATATCACTAGTTCGGATTATAAAGATATTGTACTTCAAATAAGCGGTGGATGAAGATACCTCATACCTTCCTATTTGCTTATTGATCCAATTAAGCAAGCATTCTGCTGTCTGTCCGTCATCAATTACACGTATTTTACTTTTTGCTTGATTGGGTTCCCAGCCAGCAGAAAACTTTGTAGGAGGACCACAAAACAGCACAGGACAGTGACTAACAGAAAACTTATCACAAAGTTTGGTGTTTATCTGAGCTGGCAAAGAAGTCAAAGAACCAAAGTATAATTAAAAAAACAGATTTTTCAACAACTGTAAACAAGAGCCAGAAAGAGGTGCTCCAAAAGGAATGCAATACTTTATATAGAGGTTGGTTAACAGAACAAGGCTAAATAGTAAATCTAATACATGGACTAAAAAGAACAGCCACATTACATGGCTATATTCCAACTCTACAAAACTCACAAGAATAATGAGATAGATAATGATATTAACAGTGCTAACTTTATTAATTTTCATAGTAAAAACTTTACACTGCAACTGGAGAAGGCCAAAATGACAGAAAACATTAAAGTGCTAATATATAAATGTTCTCTTTATTATTGCCCCCATGATCCCATCAATGACATCATAAAGCAATTATTGTCTCCATTACATACATTTTAACTTCCAGAATCTGACCCGGACAATATTAGATTCGCTTGCTCCCAAATTTCTAATTCTACATGCTTCTTATCAACAAAAATAACACAGAAAATTGGGTTTGAAATATATAAGATTTTCCTAACAAATAACAATCCACAAATCATTTTAAAAGAAGTTTCAGTTTCTAACAATTTTCATTTCTTGGAAATTTCAGGAACATTCAACAAACCCACTCCATGTCTAGAGAACCTTTGGTTCACACCAATTTGAAACTTCTAGATAACTTGTGGAAAAGGCACCAATTTGAAATTTCTAGAGACCTTGTGGACAAGGCTAGTGATTAGTTATGCGACGAGAATAAATTGGGATTCAATGTCTCAAACCTGACAAACAATTTGAATTTTGGAGATTATTGTATTTTTTTTTCTTCTTTTTTTCCTTTTTACAATTATTAGGCCCTTTTATCAACTTAGGTATACTTAACTTCCTTTCTAAGGAAGAATACCTAAGGTACCATTAAAACTGGGCAAAGAAAACTTATGCCCCTGAGGAGGGTGGGAAGGGATGGTAAAGATTTTGATTTAGATATTGACAGCTTACTAAGTTCATTATCCAACAAAATATGCTCAATCTACAAAAGAGGGGGAAAAAGCACTGAACTGATCTTTAAGCTCACGCAAATTAATTTTGATATATATTCTCAAATAACTAAAGAAGTATTAATAGACACCTTTTGGTTTGGCAGTGTTAAGAAATGCTTGAATGGAGCAATACCTAAATACAACCATTGAATAATCACTATCAAATGTAATTGTCCATCAATCCCATGACAGATGCTATTCAAAGTTCAAAATGATTGTTCTAGCTATTAAACATAAGAAATTACAACTTGATTGTTAAAATTCCGCATGTACACAAACTTTTCAACTGCAACTTAAATCCCAGAATTGTGCTAGTGAAGCAAATATATGCTATCGAAGAAACATGTATTTTTACAGCACTATTTCCATGAGGCTGCACTTTGCAAGTATCTAGAAGACAAAATAAATACCTTTAATGCACAGTCTACACTAGTCATCAATATGATACCAGGATGCATGGCATCAGGTCCATTGAAAAGCCTAGCAACTTTTTAATAATGGGGCTGCAAATTGTAGGTGAAGCCGCAAAAATCATGAGAAGGTGAAGATTTGAAAAATGGTAA